ACAAAAGGTCGGCAGAAATGGTTTGACACATTTTCTGTATGGATTAAGCTCTATTAAAATTCATTGAGGTGCCGGGAATCCTCTCTGAAAGCCTTCGCTTTTCATTAAATATTCAAAGACCTCTCATGTTGAGAAATTAGATGCTCACGGAACACGGGGAACTCCAGTCGGGGAGCGTACTGGGGATGCCAGTTTGAGGTTGAATGGCAAATCACAATGTCATTCTGATTAGTCCCTAGCAATGGAACCAAACCATGAATGCAACAAAACAATGGTAAACGACCTTAGTCGAGCAGAGTACAACTGTTCCCCTCCAGTCCTGTTGGTGGCAGTAATGGGCATCATTTGTTTGAGCCCATTGAAGACTGCCCCTGAGAAATAGTCACATCTTAATCCAGATCTGCCCGAAAATTGAATGGGTTCTTCCTTGACCAAGCCACTACAAAAACATTGCCGGAATCTGCAAAGTAATTAAAAAATCTAAACACTATAAATAAATAACGGCATACTTGCCACAGACGCGAATGCAGAGGCTCCTCCGACCGTACCACTGTGGTTGGTAAACTCAACTGCCACCTGAATATAGTACTCTATCACTCGAGTTATCTCGTCTGCTTCCAGTCAGCCACTCAACAATCTGCAAATGTGCCTGGTGCCTGCCAGCTCGGGCTGTGATCACCAGGAAGTCTGCCATCAGTGGTCGCCAGACAACCAGGGGCCACTCACAGACCACCGCAGTCGCCCGCCCCTCTTACCCCAGCTCCAGCCATCCTGCCCTGCCAATGGATTTATTACCTGCTCTAAAACGCTTTGAATGAGCTCTTGAGGGAGCGTTAGATTGATTAAACCACAGCTCTGTGCTATTTACTATCAAACAGTCAGTGTCTCTGTGGAACTTTGGGGGAGGTTGGGGACATAAATGTAGCATCACAGCAACATTTGTCATCTGGAGACAAATATTTGACTTGCTGTCATTTCATGGTTTTTGTTGTTGTTGTTGTTTTCTTTTTTTAAAAGCAGAACATATCACCACTTCTATTGGTCCATACACCTTACAGTTCCTCACTGAAACATCTAAGCAGGGGTGCCCATTACGTCGATCCTGATCTACCGGTAGATCTAAGACAGGTTCCAAGTAGATCCGAGGAGTTCGAGGAGAAAAAAAAACAAACAACCATTTGTGTGTCTTTGTACATGTTAGTAATATATTTTTTTGTGTTAATGTACGTTGCACCCTTATCATCCTATCAGTCTCATTTTCACAAAAAAATATTTAAAAAATAAAATAAAGCAGGTAAATCTTGAATTTACGGTGGCGCGTGATTACGTCATCGGAAGTTGTTAGCGCTCAGCAGTCTGCAATTGCAGCTTGTGATCAGAGCTGTTGCGCTCTATCTTTTATCGTCATTATTCTCATTCAGAGTATGCTTCGTATACAATTCACCGAGGTCACGGGCAAAGAATAGGAATCTAGGAGGGCCCAGGGAAGCACTTTAAAACGGTACGTGTGAGCTACGATAGTTTGTAGCGACGCCACTCGAGTGAAGCGCGACTCAGCAGTCGATAGTCCGCTGCTCTCCGCTGTGCGTGCATCAGCGCGGACGCGTACGCACTCAAGTCTTTTGGCTTCAACCAATCAGTGCTGACGCAACGGACGTTACACATCAAAGAGCTTTGAGCTCTTTCAACAGCTCAGCTAGACTAGCCACGACAACAGCTAAGCTAGTGGATTTGAGACGACACGACGCTCGAGGTCGGACGGACACGCTCTTTCTCCAGTCATCTGTATGTTTCTCTTCTTTTTCTATTCAAATATATATATTTATTATTATTTTTTCTACAAACCAAAACTGCCCTGTCCACGTCTTCTTTCGTCCCACCGGGGTTTAGCCAGTGTGGTTTATAAAGAGACCAAAAGAATCTCTTTAAGTTAACAGGCTGCAAAAGTGCATCGCCTGCCTCAGTTTCAGGCTGTTTCTCATCATGTCGCGCGGGTGTGTGTGCGTGTGTGTGTGTGCGTGTGTGTGTGTGTGTGTGTGTGTGTGTGTGTGTGTGTGTGTGTGTGTGTGTGTGCGCGCGCGCGCGCGCGTGCCGGCAAGGGTAGATCCCGGGAGGTTAGTTGATCGAAAAGTAGATCTTCGGTCCAAAAAGTTTGGGCACCCCTGAGCTAGCGGATTTGACTGCACTTTGTATGTCTACACACATAGTGCCTTCAGTTGTCAACGACTGTTTTCCTACTACTGTATTGGGGGTTGAGGTTCATGTCAATACAAGAATCATATAGATTTTGAAATATGTCTGTCCAAGGATTGTACTGTAAACTTTCACTGACGATTTATTTTTGCGATTCTACATGAAATTCACTGGGATCAGAAGTGCATGTTTCTTGTAACACTCCTCGGGTTGCAAAGTTCACCACAGTCATTGTTTTCCATGGAACTAGTTTGGATTAGATTAGATTCAGTTTTGTCATTGCGCATGTCACAAGTTGAAAACAAAAGTGCCGATTGCAAAAGTGGAGCTTGCATCAGACAAGAACTTCATAAGCAGTATTTAAATAGCGTATAATATGTACAGAGTGAATGCAATGCTACAAAATGTCAACATGATTGTCTAGTTCTGCATATAAGCACTATGATTGAGTGAGAGTAAAATAGGATTGCTATGGAGTGACTCAAAACATGCATACCCAAATCATCTTTCCCCATTGAGATATATAGTAATACCAACAATCCGTTCCAGCCTTCGTAAAAGAACACATTTTTGTCGTTTTTCAATAAGGAAAATAGCACTCTAATATTTTATGTTAGAAAAACATACTTAAACAGAATATACATAATTGAACAAGTTGTGCACCATGAGTATTAATTAATTCCGCCTCATTTTGGGATGCAGAATTTAGCCACCGAGGAGCAGTAAAATATTGTCATGCAGAAGAGTTATCCTCCATCCATCCATTTTCCGAACCGCTTATCCTCACAAGGGTTGCGGGTGTGCTGGACCCAAAGCCAGCTGCCATTGGGTGGTGTACAGGGTACACCCTGAAATGGTTGCCAGCCACTGAAATATTGTGAAAATGACTTAGTAATGCCCATGAGTGTTGATGCACGGTTAAAGTGACTGATGTCATTGGGTGTACACTGCTTAGTGTAAGTTATTGAAAGGACCTTTATTTTATTGCTTCTTTGAAAATAGCAAACACATAAGGCTGAGCAGTATCAAGCTATTATCCAAACCGCTTTTGCTCACGAGGGTCGCGGGCGTGCCGGAGCCTATCCCACGGAATGTAAATCACTGACTGCAGGGTAGCTATCTGTACTTGTTTTACTGTGTACTTTTGTGTTGTCATATGTTGATGCGCTCCCTTCAGAGCACAACAACTGAGTGTTACATAACTTTTGTGTGTTGATGTCATATATCTGTGACATTTAACTACATTTGGCGATGTTTTCTGGCCCGATGTGAGCATAGTCCTGTTGGAGTTGAGCGCTAAATTTAGATTGTAATCGCGTGTGACGTATCGCCACGGTGCCTTTTCTTTTTGTTCTTTTATCCATTTTTCTGTTATAGTTCCACTCCAATGCATTGTTGTCAACGTGTCAAAGTTCATAAAGGAGCAAAGATGCTTATGAAAAGGAGTTTGGTGACTGTCTCATCCTAACGCTTGGAAGCACAACAGATTGAGAGGGCAGCTTCTAATAAAATTCTGGTGTTTTCCAAATGATATAGGACCCGTGTGTATGTGTGTGTGTGTGTGTGTGTGTGTGTGTGTGTGTGTGTGTGTGTGTAGGAGAAGATGATGTGCTATTTTGTTAGCAAGAGGCGGTCTTGCTAACAAAATAGCACATCATCTTCTCCTAAAATGTTTCACCAGATGGGCGAATAGAGAAAAGAGAAAGAAGGATCTTCGACTATTCTTCTTTGCACAATCTCTAAATAATCCAGTGACCTGGGTCCTCTCCTTTGCACTGTCCTCTTTAGCTCACTCCACAGTGTTTTTAATGGGGTTGAGGTCTGGAGGAGCTTGATTCCGTGTCTGGTGAACCAACCATTGCTACAATTTTCAGTATGAGAGTATGCTTCTGCAATAAAAAATTCATTTGAAGGCTTTTAACACATCTTAACCGGAGGTGCCGATAATTATGGAGGGGGGGGGCACTGTATTAGTCATGATTTACAGAGACTAAAGAATAAAGTCGTCGCACTGCTGACTGATTGCAATGGTACTCATTTCGTTAATCTTTGCTCTCGCTATTCTAGAGGAATGTGGTATGGCAACACCACTTGGACATATTTTATGATTTATTTTTAAATGTTAGGTGCAATTGATATTCATCAATCATCTCTGATATTTCCTGTATAGTTTGATATTTATAATAATTTTTTTTTTTTTATTGAAACAACAAGAAATGGACAATCTTCTGGAAGGTTGTGGACATGCACTTTCAGCCAGTAAAAGTCGCAAAGCAGATGGTTTCATTGTGCTCGTTCATACAAATTACAAAGTTGTCTTTGGACTTTCTTGTTCTTTCATCACGTTATTCTTCATCACAGTAAAAAAAAAAAAAAAAAAAAATGTTGCGCCAAGCTACCACATGATCATCTGCTGTTGCTAATGACAGCGTAACTTTATCTTTATACACGGTGGGGTGGATTAAAAATCGCAAATGTTTGAGACGCTATCGCATAATGTGCCAGCTGCTTGCGTTTTCGATGGACTTGCTCTTTGGCAGCGTGCTGAAAGAGTGGCCTCGCTTTTGTTTTTGGCATCGGTGTGACAAATACATGTTGTGCTCTCGGACAGAGAGCTCACGGTGCAGGCCGTTTTATTGGCAAAGTCGAAAAACGGAACAATCTCTTTAAATCTCGGCTTTGCAGTGAAATCCTTCAGCCAACTATTTTTTTTGTTGTTGTCAGAAACGGAATGTGTTGTTCTTTCTGAGCTTTAATTCTCCACATTCTTGGATGGCACTGAGTATTTCCCTCTGTTCTCTCCACAGATGACCACTGCTCAGAGTTTAGTGCGGATCAAATCCACCAGCAAAAAACAGGCGGGGTTCTAATCCAGAAAGGATTCTTCGTTTTTGTGCGAAGCGTCTGCTCACTGTGTGCGAGGAGGACCTGTGGGAATACAAGGATCAAGTCAAGGGCACGTTCACTGCCTCGCCGCATCCCCTTCCCACTTCCAAAGATGTCGGCGAGGATAGAAAGCTGAGCTCCGGAGTCTGGTCGAGCTTCATGAATTCCGAGGAAAGTTAAAACAAACACTGTTGCTTCGTGTTTGTTGCTGCAAGGGTAGGATAACCATGTGGACATTAGCGGCAGGCACGGGCAGCCTCGCGGTTGCCGCCCTCCTGTTGGCCCTCTGCGTCCAATCAGCAACAACCATGGACGACGATGTGATGCCGCGAATCACTTTCCCATACAGTGAGTACAAAAAAATGTTTTTTTAATCACCTGTCACATCTCACAGTTCAACTTGGTCCAAAATGTATCTTCCCAGTGCAGACATGTTGGGCTTCTTAAGGCAGCAAACTATCGTCTTCTCTTTCTCTTTCGAGGTTCATCATTTTAAAAACGATTATTTTTGTCAGTTTTTGCGGTATGCTTACTTACTGTAATGCTCTACCGCTTGTGGGAATGCACTTTTTAAGCCGTTTATTGAACTCCGGGAGAACAATAAAACACACATGCAGGATCTCCTGCCGGACACAGTTGACACCCAGACACTCGAGCAGAGCGGCCACTGCCACATACGAACCACCCCACCGGGCCCCACCTCTTCAAGGCATGTGCATCTATACAGACACGACAATACGTACAGTAACTTCTCGACATTTTATACATGCAATTAGTTTTGTGTTTGTGCCAGTTTCTGCAAGACGCAATTCATCAACAATCAACTGTTCAGTTAGGAGTTGCGGTTGTAGCTCAGGTTCCCCTAGCCCAATGTCATATTGGGCTTCTTGAGATAGTTCTATGCATTTGACAGAATTCCATCCATCCATTTTCTAGTCGGCTTCTCCTCACGAGGGTCGCAGGCGTGCCGGAGCCTATCCTAGCTGTCTTCGGGCAGTAGGCGGGGGACACCCTGAACTGGTTGCCAGCCTATAGCAGTCAACATCTCTAAACTGGAGAATCAAGACTATAAATGGTATTGTAGCTTTATGAGAATGCTCTGATGAGCGTGCGAGCGAGCAGTTCTCATCAAGGCTCGGCCATCTGCAGTGAATGTGGACTCGAGCCTTCATTTGCATGAGCGAATTGCCGTGATGAGGGGTCTCGGCATAAGTGCTTGCAGGCTTACGTGCACACATGCCCATTTAAAATGTGTGCAATCATAATTGTGCCCACACAGTCCTCAGTCATTATGCTTTGATGCAGCCGCTTGGGTACTCATGGAAACATTCAGCCCTATGATGCGACTTTATCGCAAACCAGGTTTTGCATTTTGGACTTTTTTTTTCTTCTTCTTTTTTTTTCTAAGACCCATTCATTCACCACTCAGAGTTTGGATTTTTAGAGGAGCGTTGTCACTCACATTCACACCTATGGACAATTTAGTGTCTAACATGCATGCTTTCGGAAGACGCGATTAACCAATGTCTATATAATTCCCAAAAATCAGTTAATAGACTACGGTATGTCTGTACTTGTCCAGTGCTAAACATATTTATTTGACCCAAGTGTCATCACACAGAATCCAGCATACGTAAGTATTTTAAAACTAATTTGGGCTACATCCTAGTTTGTCAACCATTGCAGTCATGTCATTTTTGTCCAACCGATACTGTACATTTAGGGCAGCTGTGGCATAAAGTTTCCGTTGTGGAGTGGTATCTTACTTTTGTACCTGGACATATGTAGTATTTCAAACAATTGCCTGAAGGAATTATCACCAACATTCATGCAAGATTGTGTCTTGTATAACTTTAGGTTGTTTTGTTTGTTTGTTTGTTTTTTTAATTATTGGTTGTATAACTTTAGGTTGTTTTGTTTGTTTTTTTAATTATTGGTTGTGCTGCTGATCCTTTTTGCCTTATGGGAACTCAAGTAGATGGAGTAAAAGATCTAACAGTGCAGACAATAGAAATGATCACTTGTCTCTTTGGATTGTCTCCGATCATGACATGGATTAAGGTGTCTAAGTCCTCTTTAGAAAGCGAGTGCTTTGGCTGGAAGTCACATGTCAGGCTTCATTCGGAAGCGCATCCTTTCTCTCACTTAAGCCTTGTAACGTCTTTACGATACACCTAAATAGATTACACTAAGTCATTTTGCCGAAACAATTTAAAACCGTGAATAACTGGTCTGTATCACACAATGTAAAATATGTCGTCTCCATAAAACCTTCGCAATGGTCACAACCGTATGCATGGAAAAAGAAAAGGGGTGGTGGGGGGGGATTTCTCTTCCTTAAAGTGAAGTTTTTCTTCGGATCGTGTATTTTACTTTATTTTTATTTTTTTGGTCCTTCTTCCATTCACTGCCATTCTCCATGCCTCTAGCCTAATGAGCAGGCTAATCTCTCATGTGTGCACAGTGGAGGGTTTTTGTGTGGCGGCTGCGGCGGGAGAGCTCGTCTGTTATTCATTAGGACCGCGCAAAGAATCATGGGAATAAAGTTGGGCACGTGGCGTGTTTTTCATTATCGCAAACGTCTCTCGAGCCAGAAGACGTTTATTTATTTCTTTGCTTGCATCAACAAGGAGTCGTTCAGAGTTTTGAACCTGAGAACATTTGATGTCGTCGTTTTTCATCAACGTGATGTGAAAAACCTCGCTTATGTTTGCATATTTTAGCGCCGGGATACTATTTCATGTGGACTTTTCACATTGTCTTTTCCCTGCTTCTCCACAAAGTGCCAGTTGACATAGACCGAAAAGGAAAAGTTTAACGTCCGTTTGTTATCATGGAAAACAAATACGCTAACGTTACTGACCTACGGAACTAAGTCTATTTGAGTGGCTGGGTATTTATGTAATAAAGGTGACATATGGAGAATGGACCTTTGAATTGCTTGTGTACAAATAGCTGGATCTCTGGAGTGCCTGCCCACATAGCCCACAAGAGAGTCTTTTGTTATGTATTTCTGAAAATGTGACTGTGAGCAAGCCAATCAGAATTTAGATTTCAAATTTTTAGATATTTCACATAATCACCAACCCCATGCCGAGTCTCTCTGCCCGTAATTGGGCAGCTCGGCTCCTCGATCCACCTTTGTCAAGTAACACAGGTTATTAAAGTCACAAAATATAGTAGAAAAAATTCTCTAAGTTGGCAACACTGGCAAAAAAAAAAAAACATTCAAGTGAGTTGTCTAGGTTATCTCACGTTAAATGTCTTGGTCTCCATCCATCCATTTTCTACCGCTTATCCGGGGTCGGGTTGCGGAGGCAGCAGTTTTAGCAGGGAAGCCCAGACTTCCCTCTCCCCAGCCACTTCTTTTAGCTCTTCCCGGCGGATCCCGAGGCGTTCCCAGGCCAGCTGGGCGACATAGTCTCTCCAGCGTGTCCTGGGTCGTCCGTGGGGCCTCCTACGGGTGGGACATGCCCGGACCACCTCACCATGGAGGCGTCCAGGAGGTATCCTAATCAGATGCCTGAGCCACCTCATCTGGCTCCTCTCGATGTGGAGGAGAAGCGGGTCGACTCTGAGGCCCTCCCGGATGGCCGAGCTTTTCACCTTATCTCGAAGGGAGAGCCCGGACACCCTGCGGAGAAAACTCATTTCGGCCGCGTGTATCCGGGATCTTATTCTTTCAGTCACGACCCATAGCTCGTGACCATAGGGTGAGGTTTGGAACGTAGATCGACCGGTAAACTGAGAGCTTCACCTTTTGGCTCAGCTCCTTCTTCACCACGACAGACCGATACAAAGTCCGCATCGCAACAGGCGCTGCACCAATCCTCCTGTCGATCTCTCGCTCCCTCCTGCCCTCACTCGTAAACAAGACCCCAAGGTACTTAAACTCCTCCACTTGGGCCAAGATCTCTTCCCCTACCTGGAGAGGGCTCTCCACCTTTTTCCGACTCAGGACCATTGTTTCTGAAACAATGTCTTGGTCTCGTTTTTTTATATCACTAAAACTTAGCAGCTGAAAAAGAATGTGTAGACGTTTTGATATCACCGCATATGAACTCTTGTGGTTGTCCACAACTATGCATTTATAGTTGTTATATTCTCCTCCAAGAGGAGACAGGACATGACACAGTTTGCCATGCTTTATTTACACATATGAGGCACATATTTGCTATGGCATTCTCACAGGACTACTACAGTATTCACATTTGCCTCTTTTCGGCATTTCAACTCTGTGTCCTCATTGTCCTGTTCCCCACATGTGTGCTATACATCGGCCGTAGATCAGCTCTCGTGCATGCTACTCCAACAACCTTGGCAGCATGCAGACGACGAAGAGAGGTTGCTCGTGTTTTGAGACACCCGGCCCAAATTCTGGCGTCCTTTTTAGACATGCTACAATGACCTCCTAAAACCTGGCGATGACAGGCCAACTGATCATGACAGCAAGCGCTCGTGTCTGACGCCACCAATGGCCGCAACAATAGGGACGTAATCGTGGCGCGTTAGCTGCAGTGCTTTGGCCTGTGCACAAAAAAAAAAAGAAGAAAAAAACGAAACCAGAATCGGTGAATTTGTGAGTTGCGAATCATGAATATAAAGGAACAATGTGTATCATATATAATATAGATACATATATTTCTTAAACAATAAATTTTTGATCTTTTCTTAACACTCACTCCAAACATGTCAACTTTAGAACCGAGGATCCGCCCACTGATCCTGAGAGAACCACAATTTCAGACCTCCCACTAGCCATGGTGACACTCTCAAACGCTCGCGTCCGACCCAACAATGCCCGTGACAATAGCGACGTAATTGCGGCATGGTTTTAATGGCCTCATCCACCCCCCCCTCCCGTTTTACACGCTCCAGAGGATGTGGAGAAAAGTTCCGTCCTGACACATTTCAGCAGCTTGATTGGCGCAGAATAGCAGGCGGTGAGAAGTGACCTTGTAGCTCTTAATTAAGGTGGACAGACAGGAATGCGAGGGTCATGACACTCATTTTTGGTGATGGCTGCATTCGTTTTTTTTGGGGGGGTGGGGTTGCGTTACAGAAGCGACGCATATTTGTGATTTATGAAGTCTGGGGAACATCTCTCAACAAGCCATTTTATTTTACGACGACTAGACAGATACAGTGTTTCTGTTTTGTGCACAGGGATGCTGCACTTAGCGCAATTAGCATTCAACATACACGTGTGTGTGTGTGTGTGTGTGTGTGTGTGTGTGTGTGTGTGTGTGTGTGTGTGTGTGTGTATATACATATATATATATATATATATATATTGTCAAGAATTTCCGCATTAGCATGAATCAAAAATGACAACTTCCCCCAGAATTTGCTGCATCAAAGTATATTACGCGACTTCACATGCTGTTAACATTAACGTTTGGACGGGCGAAGGCATTTCAAGGGTCCTACGTGACACAACGGTTTGGAACTATTCATTTTTTCCATCGAAGTAATTGCAGTTTCCTTGGCTTTTCACTCCCTTGAAATGAATTATGGGCTGTAATGCTTCTCAAAAATACAACTAATACTACGACCACCACTACTACTACTACTACTACAGACTTTTGCTTTTTCTTTGGCCCACTGTGTGCACGGATCCTTTTACAAGAGTGAAAATGACTTTTTTTTTTTTTGGTGGCTTTTTAAATCATTTACCCATTTCACGAGTGAAAAAATATAAATATATGATATTTCTTGAATAAAATACATAAAAAGTTATTGCAGAATGTCATACTGTTTTATGCTTTTTCTTTGGCTCATAAATTATGGTAGTATTTCTTAAAGTCAATTAATTAAAAGATAATAATTTTTAAAATGTGGGCTTTCTTTGGCTTTTTTGCATGTCATTTTAGAAGAATTAAAAGGTGTTACTTAAATTACAATAATTAATAGCAAAAGCTATTTCTGTTAAAGTATCAGACACATTTTTTCTTTTTCTTGGTTTTTTAGGTGTTCCTTTCCCCATTCACAAGGGTGATGATAAGCCTAATTGATAAGTGCTAAATAATAATCATATTTGAATTCATCTAAAAAAAAAAAAAAAGAAAAAAAGAGTTCATCACCAGATATCGTATTCATCCCCCCAAAAATGTAGGGTTTGTTTTTAACGTCTTGTGCTTGCCTATGGAAAGCTGTTTGGATTTTTTTTTTCCCCCCTATATCCTTGATATCCATCTTAAGGTCCATGTACGAGGAATTTTGAGATTACAGTCGATCAGCAGTTTGGCATAAAATACAAAATATTGATCGATTTCGACCCACTCGATCAGATCTGTGTAAAGTCAAAGTACAAGTAAGACAGTCGTTTGACTTGTGCACTGAATTGTCGTACTTGTGAGGACAAACGACGTATTGGTACATGAACCTAAAGATGGATGTCTTGCATCGTGAATAAATGCATGCTCAACAAATGTCCAGACATACATGGCGATTACATACGCTAAAACGCTACTCAAAACCTTACCTGCACTTGAACATTTCATAAATCCATTAAAAAGAGTCGCACAATAAAAATTTCTTTGTATAGATGTTTTTTTTTTTTTTTGTTTTTTTTTTTTTATTTTAAACCACCTGAGTGAAATTAGCATTCTGCCATCCTGGTTGTCATCAGAAAGAACTCAGCCTGCAGCTGCATTGGCCCTATCGACATAGCGGTGTGTGTGTGTGTGTGTGTGTGTGTGTGTGTGTGTGTGTAGTATGGCGACAGGAAGTGAGTGGTGGCGGCGGTGTGGCTCGGTCAGCGTTAAAAGCTTCCAGCTGTTTTAGGAGCGCGTGCGCAAAACCATCAGCATGCGACGCTCAGAACAGCCCTGACCGCCCGCCCGCTTGCTCGGCTCACTTTGCGGTGCGTGTGCAACCAGAGCGGCAGACTACTGCACAACTCATCATTACAATACACACACACACACACACACACACACACACACACACACATAGTGGGTCTGTATGCTGCGTTGGCACTTAGGCCGTAATCACATGGCTGCTTCCAGGGAGTGCACTTAGCAAGCCATCTGCAGGAATGTGCAACTCACTTAGATGGCGAATGTTAAAATACATACACAGCCACAGATGTGTGGTCAAAAGTATTGGGACGGATAGCAAGTGTATTTACAGGGAGTGACAATGGAAGTTCTTCCCTATGCAGCGATGACAACATCCACTCTCCCGAGCAGACATTTTCAATGTGTGTCTTCTATTAAATAAACATAAAAAAATGACAAAAGGTGACGCATTCTATCATGCCCTCTCGAACTGAGCCATATAACCAAATTGAGGCGTTACATTTTACAATGAACCATACCGTGGAGACTCTTTGTAATGTCCACTAACAACCCAGACTAATGTCAGCTCCTCCCTAGCTATCACAGCTTTTCTCTCAGGCAAGTATCACTTCAACATACAGTGGTACCTCAACTTAAGAACGTCTTTTCATAAGAAATTTTCAAGTGACGAAACGTCTCAACAGGAAAATATTGGCTCTTTTTACGACAGAAATTACGATTCAGAATTAAGGTGCCCAGTAAACGTTTGCTTAGTTATTAGCCCTTTTTTTTAATAGATTTTTTTTTTAATTTTTACGTTTTTCTACTGGGCGCTTTAAAAGTCAACTGCATTCTTTGCTGCCAGTGGAAGTAATTCAATCATCACCTCATTGAGTTGCTGGGCTTTGGTAGCCATGACAACCCCTTGGATATGCCTCCTATTTCGCATCTGTCCGTCAACAGCGTCCTTCGCACCAATCAGCACCTCCTTTTCTCTGACATTCTTTCACACAATATGGCATCCGGTGGCTTTCCTTGCATATATACAAGTTTTGGGGCTTCACCTCCCGACGCCTCGATGTCAGGCCAGCGCGACACGTCTCTTTTTTTTTTTTTCTTGTGTTGCGACTGAGGGGATTACATGTTCCATGTCGGGATAAGTCGCTCGCATGCCACAATGGTGAACAGATTCCACCTGGGGTAAACCCACGAGCAGCGTGCCAGCAAATTGACACCTGAGCGACACCAATGACAGAGCTGCTGAGCATGACGTGAGTCTTGCTATGCTGTCATCCTTGTGCGTTGATTCTGCAGAAGGGTTAAGTTCCTCCGTTTTAGCCTCATCAATTGCCCGCCATTCTATTCTACTTGTCATGGCGCGACACCTATGTTGCTTCATCAACATGCGGCGAGCATTAGGCCCCGCCAGGCCGTGCTTGTTATCTATGTGGTGCAGCTGTCTCTCACTGTGATGTGCACACACAACGTATAATGAACACAATTCCGCAAAAGCCACACTAAACATCACATTGGAACTGTGCATCAATCTCAGGTAGGGATAAGGCACTGGGGGTATCGACATAAAGTACACGCATATAGATTTACTTCATTGTGGATGCATGGATTATAATTAGAGACAGAATGGACACGTTTGGTAGACTTTAGGTAATAAAACATGTTTGGGGTAACTTTGTTCACCTTATTAGGGTTTGCTGACAATGTCTTTATAGATCGGTAAAGCATTCACCAAGCCCGTTAATATGAGGTATGACTTGATGCAAGTAACAAAACGTGCATTTTGGTCATTTTGTCACTGTATTAGGGTCTATCTGGAAGCTAATATCGTTTGAAAGCTGTCATCGATATCTTGAATATGCGGTATGACTTGGTGTGGTTTACCGCAGATTGATTTGAGACTTTATTAGTGTCCCTAATGGTGACTTTTAAAAGCCAATAAAACTTGCTTTTTGATAAATTTGTCATTTCTTGACTATTTAAATAGCACATCTGGAAAGAGCTTCCTCAGCAACGGCTTTTCTACAAGGAAAGACTTGATGTGGTTTGTTGCAAAATAATTTGTGACTTAATGATGACTTTTGAATATCCATCCATCCATCCATTTTCTGATCCGCTTTATCCTCACAAGGGTCGCGGGGGGTGCTGGAGCCTATCCCAGCTGTCTTCGGGCAGTCGGCGGGGGACACCCTGAACCGGTTGCCAGCCAATCGCAGGGCACACAGAGACGAACAACCATCTGCGCTCACACTCACACCTAGGGACAATTTGGAATGTTCAATCACCCTGCCATGAATGTTTTTTGAATGTGGGAGGAAACGGGCGTACCCGGAGAAAACCCACGCAGGCACGGGGAGAGCGTGCAAACTCCGAACCCACGCAGGCACGGGGAGAACGTGCAAACTCCGCACAGGAAGCCCGGAGCCAGGATCAAACCCGCGACCTCCGCACTGTGAGGTCGACACGATAACACCGGATGACCGAACCGCCCTTTATGACGTAATACGAAACATATTTCTTTGATAATGTCGTCATCATGTTAGGCTTTAGTGACAATCTACTAATCTAGAAAGCTGTCATCGAGCCCTTCATTATGACGTACGAGTTGATGTGATTTGTTAAAAATGAATATTGACATTTGGCGCTCCTCTCGAAGGTCAGAAGCAATCTTCTATCGGTTGAATGACCGAATGATAAAAATTCAGATCGATATGTTTTCTTTGCTTTTTTTCAAAGCCTCGATCGTCCA